TATATATATATATATATATATTTAGCACCTGAACATTCATATTTACATGCATATCACTCAAATGTTTAGCATCACATCAAAAATGCCACCATCGCTATTCTTTATGGGACCTAGGGGTATAAGCTAGCCAAGTTCGAGCCATCATCAGCTTGAGCTCAAGTTAACGAGTTCGAGCTGGCTCATGAGCGGGCTTATTTATTTTAGAAAATAAAATTAACTTAAGCTAGTGTTATAATAAAATGATAAGAAGTTCCTGTAAAAGACAATTTCTTTTTTTTTTAATATTTATTTAATTCTAAACATAAAAACTTGAAATTTAACTTATTTTTTATCTAGATCTTATATTAATAACTGATAAGTCGGGGCTGGTTTGAGCTTGGTGTTGGCTCATTGAGCTCCCCGTTCATGAACGATAATATATCTAGCCAGCTCACAAGCTGACTTGACTCGCACTTTGGTGTAATATAAATGGTACGTAAAATTTCATATTTACATCTAGCATTTTGGTGTTTCATGCCTATGGATGAAAATATGTATTTCTCTTTTAAAAAAATGGTAATAGATTCGTGTAAATATAAAAATTTAGATATGATATATGTAAATATTTAAGAATCATGTGCTTTACTATTCGGATCAAATTTGATGATTAAATCTGAATCATACATGCAAAATAAATTAAAAAAGAGAGGGTATAATTGCTCAAATTCAGACTTAAAAAGGTACGGATAATTACATATGAACCACCCAAAATTATTTGATATTTATAAATTAAGCACGGAGGTGATATACTTGAATTTCCAAATAAATGTATTTATGCATGACATGATAATATTGGGAATTTGATTAAAAATGAAAAATAATTTTTGATATTTGAGTGAGAATTTAGTAAATGGATGAAAGTGGGTGGTTGATTTGTAAATAGCAAGTTTCAGAGTGGTCTGTATGTAATGTGCAAATGCACCACTTTGATGGTTCAGAAAAATAACTTTTGAGTGTTAGTTTTGTAAGTAACTAATTTAAATTAATGTGAATGAAATATAATGTCTATCTATTGTCGGAAAATTTGGTTTCGATCTACCGTCAGCCATGTGCATCATCACTTTTGCTGAGGGGTTCGCTCGATCGATCAAAGTCTTTCGGTCACCCGATCAGTAATCAGCATGTTGATTATAGGAAAAAATATTGTGTCCGGAGTTTGAACGCAAAGCTACGTCTGAATAATGGATGCGATATATCAGACGGATCGGGGGAGAATAAAAACTATCGTGTATAGCGTCCGAGGATGCCCGGACGTAGCCTGCATCCAAATTCCAGACGCAATAATTTTTTCTAATTATAGGGTTGTGCCTATCAATCGCTTGTCCAACACATCTCACCCTTCGACTCAAGAGTTCAGATGTAGCCTCTTGGACCTTGGAGGGTCATGCTAACATTTTTGTTGTATACAATTTTAGACTTTATAAAAGTGCTAACATAATCTTCAATATATTTAAATTGGGGCTAATATAATTCTTACAACGGATTAATAGAATTTAATTTTTAATGGGAATTTGCATTTTATTTTTAATTATGGAAACCATTTGCAAAACATTATTTTAGTAACATGCTCTTGCCTCCGTGGGCTGCTATGCCACTTAATTTCTATGTATTTACATTATTACATAGTTAACATCTAAGGTTTAATTTTTACATATATATCACCTATTTAGGCATGAAAAGGCGTATTTTTTAGAAATTAAGTTGATGATATTTTATATGCTATGAAAATTCTAAGTGGTATAAATATAAAAAAAATAAAATTTTAATGTTAGATATGTAAATACATAAAATTTTGGTGGTATATATGTAAATGCTCTTTATTTTTATATTGAAGTACTTTTTTCTAGATATATTGAAATTATTGTGATTTTGTTATAAAATATATAATGATTTAAGGAATGGCATATATTTATCTATAATAAGTAGAATTAATATTAGAAAAATTTTGTTTTATCAAAATTCAGTCATTATATGTTAATGATTTTTTTATACACCATCAACAAATTTAGCGTTCAAAACGAGTCTTGAAAATTGACATGAATTTCGAGATATTTGTTTAACAAGAAATGTTCAAATTATAATTAAAGATCATATAAAACTCTATTGAAGCTCCCTGTTAAGACTTCTGTGCCCGACCGAAGCTCCTAAAGCAACCATTTACGACCTATATAACAAACTATTACCATGACTTCCAAGTACAACCTACATGACAAGCTTTACACTACAGTCATCATCTATAACATTCAAGGCAGACTAATGAGTCCATGACAATCTACTATTATTCTTGCAGTCTGCTATCGTCGTTATTGTCAAGAACTATAATCAGGTTATTGCTATTATAAATGAATTATTGTTGTGCATCTACGATTTTCAATTTTGCAACTTCACTTCCCTAATCCACGAGATAAGTTGGCCTATGCACTCATAATCACATAGTGGATTATTTCAACTAAATTAGACCTCATGATTTTTCCCTTTTCAGGGCTTTCCACATAAAAATTAAGGTGACTTCTCCTTCTTACTTCTCTTTTATCTGAGTTTATTTTGGATTTTCATGCATTATTAAATCACTAAATAATCACTCTACCAATGCAAATATCCCACACACATTAATGTATTTTATCCTAAATATATATATATATATATATATATTGAAATGAGCTTGATTATATTTATATATGTAAGGGAATTTACATATATGGCAGTTCAAACGCTTATATTTCCATTCCTCACACCTAAAATTTTATATTTAATAATATAGCACTTAAATCTCTACTACTTTCATGAAAAAATCACCATGATAATTCTTGTTTACAACCTTCACCACCTATCAAAACTCCGTCAATGCACTCATTGCTAACAACACTCTGGCAGTGATCGAGATACAATCTGATCCAAGCACTAACTTCCTCATGAATCATTGCATAAGCACCATCACAATGTTGGATGTTCTCATTAACATCGTTAGCGATGAGCCAGTCGGAGATGACAAAATTGAAGAAGCAAAGAAAACTCATTAACATGTTATCAACGACATATCTACAATTGTACTCAATTGTAGATCGGTTCATCGAGTTCGGTGCATGGACAAGTAGGAGCTTTCTTTTGAGAATTACTAATAACTTATGTGTTATACCCAACTTCAGCCTATGTGGTCTACGAATGTTATCACAACTCACACAACTTTTAACTTTGGCCTCTGCGGCTCACAGACATTATCATAGCTCATGAGACTCCCAAATCCGACTTATGTGGCATACATGTGTTATCACATCTCACATAGCTTCTAACTCTGACCTCTACGACATATGAACGTTATTAAAGCTCTTTATAGTGGAATCTGTGACAAACTGATGCTCATAAAGCAACCATTTATGACATACATGATAAACTACTGCATGGTTTTCAACTGTGACTTCCACGACAAGTTGACGCTACAATATTATCACTATCTACAACATTCACTACAGTTTACTACTTCCGTAAAAATCAACTACATCCCTCATAGTCTATTATCCCCTTTATCGCAAAGAATAACAAGCATATTATGACTGTTATCAATGAATTAAAGTTGTGCATCTATGATGATCAATTTTGTAACTTTACTTCCATAATACAAAGAGGATAGCATACCTCTATACTTATAGTTGATCATTTCAACTGAGTTAAGCCTCATGATTTTTTTCCTTTTTTCCAAAGTTTCTAGATAAAATTGAGGTGTCTCGTGCTTATATTTTATCTTAGTGATTGATTTTTGTGTAACGTAACGCTAAAACGCTAAATAATTACTATCACTGCGGATCTTTTGACACGTGTCAATATTTTTTATGCTAATTATAAAAAAAAAATATCAAGAACTAGGTCAATTATATTTATATGTGTAAGGGGATTTACATATATGGCAGTTCAAAAACTTATATTTCGATGTCCCACCCCTAGAATTGTTGCTGGATCTCAATTCAAACAGCTTTTCAGGATCGACACCATTGGAGCCTAGTAAAAATCCAAATTTTGGTTCAAAGGTGCTATTTTTACAAAACAACCACTTTTCTGGCGGCGCTCCGGCGACCCTATCCAAATGCTCGAGACTCGTTTCTCTCGATCCGAGCTTCAATTATCTCACAGGAAGAATACCCTCCTCTCTCGGATCTTTCTTGTAGCTCCGAGATCTGATAATGTGGCAGAACCTCCTTGAAGGAGAGATCTCAACCTACACAACAATGGCCTCCTCAACCGTATTAATCTGAACCGGATTTCTGTCTCCAGCAATCGTCTCTCTCTTTCCATCACGCCATTCTGAAACTCGGCTAAAATTCTCTACCTGGTTCCATCAAGCCGGAGCTTAATATGGCTTGATCTTAACAACAACCAGCGCAACCATCTCTTAGAATAGCCATTGCTGGGGATCAGGAAATCTCTGCGGCTTCCCACTCCCAGCCTGCGAAGCGAACCTCAGCTCAGATTCCGGCGGGAGAAACCCAAAATCTCACCGCCGGCGAGCTTATATTGCTGGGAGCATTACAATTGGGCTTCTGTGTTCCCTGTTCTATCTCGTTGGGTTGTCTATCGTTCTCGTGGAGAGCAGGAAGAGATGAAGCAAATGGAGATAACGCCTTATCCATTAGCCTCGTCAAGTTCGACAAAGCTCTGCGAATTCTTACCTTTAATGACCTCCTCAATGTGCCGAGCTCAAAG